TTTATCAATTGAGGAATGGTTCTTATTTCTGTAAATTTGACTCAGTTCTCTATAAAGTTGAGAATTTTGCATTTCTTTGTATCCCCAGGGTTCAGCATAGTACCTTGCATATGGTAGGAGTTTAAGAAATGGTAGTTGACTGTCCTGAAAAAAGGCATTTGAGAGATCCTCAGTAACTACTGATCTGTATTTACTTTTTAAAATGCCTCCTTTTTTAACTTTGTAAAATCTTTTTTTCCTTAATAGTATTATATTTTTTTCTAATTACATGTAAAGATAGTTTTCATCAATTGTTTTTTGTAAGATTTTGAGTTCCAAATTTTTTCTCCCTCCCATCTCCCCTCTCCAAGACAGCAAGCAATTTTATATAGGTTATACATGTGCAATCATGTAAATGTATTTCCACATTACTCATGTTGTAAAAGAAGAAACAGAACAAAAGGGGAAAACCATGAGAAAGGAAAAAACAAAAACAAAAACAAAAATAAAAGTGAAAATAGTATGCTTTGAACTGTGTTCAGACTCCATAGTTCTTTCTCTGGATGTGGATAGCATTTTCTATCATGAGTCTTTTGTAATTGTCTTGGATCATTGTATTGCTGAGAAGAGCTAAGTCTATCACAGCTAATCACTGCACAATGTGGCTGTTACAGTGTACAATTTTCTCCTGGTTCTGCTCACTTCACTCAGCATCAGTTCATATAAGTCTTTCCAGGTTTTTCTGAAATCCACCTGCTCATCATTTCTTATAGTATTCCATTGCGTTCATATACCACAACTTGTTCAGCATCCCCTCAATTTCCAATTCTTTGCCACCACAAAAAGAGCTGCTATAAATTTTTTTGTACATGTGGGTCCTTTTCCCATTTTTATGATCTCTTTGGGATAGACCTAGAAGTGGTATTGCTGGATCAAAGTGTATGCACAGTTTGATTTCCCTTTGGGCATAGTTCCAAATTGCACTCCAGAATGGTTGGATCAGTTCACAACTCCACCAATGATGCAATGTGTTCCAATTTTCCCACATCTTCTCCACCACTTGTCATTTTCCTTTTCTGTCATGTCAGCCAATATGATGGGTGTGATAGGGTACCTCAGAGTTGTTTTGATTTACATTTCTCTAATCAATAGTGATTTAGAGCTTTTTTTCATATAACTTTAATTTCTTCCTCTGAAAACTGCCTGTTCATATCCTTTGACCATTTATCAATTGGGGAATGACTTGTATTCTTATAAATTTGACTTAGTTCTCTATTTATTTGAGAAATGAGGCCTTTATCAGAAACATTGGCTGTAAAAATTGTTTCCCAGCTTTCTGCTTTCCTTCTAATCTTGATTACATTGGTTTTGTTTGTGCAAAACCTTTTTAATTTAATGTAATCAAAAGTATTCATTTTGCATTTCATAATGTTATCTATCTCTTGTTTGGTCATAAATTCCTCCCTTTTCTATAGATCTGACAGGTAAACTATTCCTTGCTCTCCTAATTTGCTTATGTTATCATCCCTTATGTCTAAATCATGTACCCATTTTGACCTTATCTTGGTCTAGGGTGTGAGATGTTGGTCTATGCCTAGTTTCTTCCTACTACTTTCTAGTTTTCCCATCAGCTTTTGTCAAATAGTGAGTTCTTATCCCAGAAGCTGGAGTCGTTGGGTTTATCAAACAGTAGATTACTATAGTCATTTACTACGGTGTCTTCTTATATACCTAATCTATTCCACCACTCTATTTGTTAGCCAGAACCAAAAAGTTTTGATGATTTTTGATTTATGATATAGTTTTAGATCTGGTATGGCTAGGCAACCTTCCTTTGCATTTTTTTCCCATTAATTCCCTTTATATTCTTGACCTTTTGTTTTCCAGATGAATTCCAGAAATTATTATTTTTTCTAGCTCTATAATTTTTGGTAGTCAGATGTGCATGGCACTGAACAAGTGAATTAATTTAAGTAGAATCGTAATTTTTGTTGTATTAACTTGGCCTACCCATAAGCAATTGATATTTTTCCAGTTATTTAGATCTGACTTTATTTGTATGAAAAGTGTTTTATAATTGTGTTCATTTAGTTCCTGGGTTTGTCTTGGCAGGTAGACTACCAAATATTTTATATTGTCTACAGTTACTTTAAATGGAATTTCTCTTTCTATCTCTTGCTGCTGGGCTTTGTTGGTAATATATAGAAATGCTAATGCTTTACGTGGGTTTTTTTATATCCTGTGGCTTTGCTAAAATCGTTAATTTTTTCAAGTAGTTTTTTTAGTTGATTCTGTAGGATTCTCTAAGTATACCATCATATCATCTGCGAAGAGTGATAGTTTTGTTTACTCATTGCCTGGTCTAATTCCTTCAGTTTCTTTTATTGCTAAAGCTAACATTTCTAGTTCAATATTGAATAATGGTGATAATGTACATTCTTGTTTTGCCCCTGATCTTATTGGGAAGCTTCTAGCTTAACTTTGTAAAATCTTTGGGAGAATTAGCTATACACATGTCAAGCTTATCTTTATGAAAATGTAAGAAGGGAATAGGTAAATTTTTACTAGCGAAGCATATCTCTATAGTCTCAAAAATCATAGCTTCAGAGAATACAGATCACAGCTTTCTCCGTTAAACAAAGGCCCACTTTCTTAACACCAATATTCTTTTGGTGGTTTTGTATGTCAGCCAGCCATTGTACTCTGGCAGCAAATGACAGCTCTGATGGTCAACTGACTCTCTATAGAGAGGAGGGATGTGTGTTTCATCCTTTGTTCTCCAGGACCAAGAGTGCTGTAAGTAATCTGAGTTTAGTTGCCCTTTGATATTGCTTTCATTTACATGGCTGCAGTCATTGCGTATGTTGTCTTTTTGGTTCTGTTTTGTTTTTTGGGGTTTTTTTTTTGCCCCATTTCCTTTTCTCTAAATTTCTTCTGTTTGTTGTTTCTTGGGCATATTCATATTCCCCATTTTGCAGATGAGGAAACCTAGAGAAGTAGATGACTTTCACACATTCAGTTAGTTAAATGGTAGGATCAGGAAATGAATTCAGATATCCTGACTCCAAATTAAGCCCTCTTTTTCACTATACCATCTTGCTTGATTAACATTAACAAACAGGAAGACTCTGTTTGCTGATTAATTTTGGACTCTATATTCTAAATTACCATATCTCTTAATGTAGCATATTTGAAGAGAATTTAATACAAATGTTTTTTACAACAATTATACCATTAATTGAGATTATTTCTCATTGTTCTATAAACCCCTTTCCAGAGATTTCCAGGAATAAATTCGTTGGCCTGTTTTGTGGCTGGCAAAAATGGAGTATTTGGCTCACCAGTTGTTAAATCCAAATTCATGTGTATTTTATTTAGTCTTGCAGTTCATCAGAGAAGTCCTACTTTGATGACTTAGTGTTACACATAGGTGACCTTAGGCTCTTGACCCTTATGCTAACAGAGCTAGCAGGCTTGACCAAGCTTTGAGCCCAGCCTGATGACTGATTATTTAATCTCACGCATATTTTTTGGGTAATTTCTTTGAATTTTTTTTAACAGATTATCCAAAGCAGCAGCACAGGGTTATGATTTAAAAAACAAAACAAAACAAAATGGTGTTACTTTTCTCTACAAAATCTTTTTTAAAACAATTTCTATAGAAAAGGTTTCTATATGCCTCTGACTGCATACATACCAGTTTGATAGAAGTAGCAAGTGTTGCTTGCTAAACTAGTGAAACCTAGTTTATTTTAAGGTCTCAAACTGGGGGGGGGACCCAAAGTAAAGATGTTTGCTCTTGTTGTAAAAAGATAATGAACATATAGCGGAACTGTGCAGAAACTCGGGGAAGAGAACAGATGGGATTTTTGGCAAATGAGTGGGAAGTCTGACGCCTGGCAGCATGGATTGGGCTGATGCCATGGCATATGGTGCTGATAATATTTCATTCAGTTAAAAGAAGTGCCACTTAGTCATTGCCAGTCCGAAGATATCTTAACCATATTGAAAAAAAATGTAACTAGCCAAGGCAGCCATGTTGCCAAACATCTCTTCTGCCAGTTTTCTGATGTCAATTTCTGATGTCCAAAGAGTGTATTCTTATCTGAAATCTTCGCTAATGTGAGATGTTGCTGTTTTATGTACTATTATGTCTGAATTAATACAACACACACAATACAAAGATGGTAATATTGATGGTGAGCATGATCTTCAGGTTTGTTTGTGGCCGAAAAGAAAATTGTGGGAACAAGTAGTTCTTTGTCACACTGAGCAGAGCATTCATTCAGTAACTATTATTCAGTGCCTACTACGTGCCTACCACAGTGCTAGGCACCATGAGAAACCCACTTAAAATTGCCTTCTTAAAGTTTACCATCCAGTGTCAGAGTAAAGACTAACATATACGAAACAGTAAACAACACAAAAGACCCATGATTTGACTGGTGTAGATACTCCCACTGTAGATAGATTGCAACCTTTCTAGACAGTTTCATGAGTTTCTGTGGCCAAAAATAAAAATCATGGTGGCTAACCTTCTTGCGTGAAATCTCTCTGACCTTAGTTAGGCTGATCCTTGGATGACAGACATACCATCTGTCACCAGGCCCATACCTGAAGTTTTTCCAATTGGGTAGGCCTAGACAGGGCTTGGACTTAGAACTGCCTCTGAGAATCCGAGTCAATACCATGAGGCATCAAAATAGAACGTTAGTGAGGAATACAAGCACATAATTATGTGCCAAGTCATGGCAAGGAGGTGTGAGGGAAGAGAAAGGAGAGATTCAAAGTTAGGGTAAGGAGCAGTGCAGTATTATCTATTCATTCTATTCTGAATGAGTTTTAGTTATAATGACAATTAAAAAGGAAATAATTTAAAATTCATTTTTAATTTAAATTTAATAATTTAAAATTTCATTTCCATTGTCTTAAGTTTTTTAAGAGCATTGATCATGTTCTTTCTTTCATATCATCCAGAGTGCCTCATGTGTTTTTTCCAGGAGCCAATTAGCCAAACATTTCAGAAGCAGGACTTGAAGCCCAGTCTGCCTGTGTCCAAGGTGAGCTCTCTATCCACTCTTCCTTACTTTTTGTATATTCTTGAAAAATGACAAATCCCTCAACAAACACCGATTAGCTAAAAGACATGGTCAATGCCTATAAGAAACTCAAGACAATTCAAACTTGAAAACATGGGACTTCAGTGACAGAACCTCTCAAGGTCCCAGGATACTCTAAAACTATTTTATATGGACTACTGTTCCCATGACCCTAAGTAATAGTGTTTAAAAGGTTGTCAGGGTCTATGTAGGCAAGAAATCTGCTATATAGAGAATTAACTATAGAGTCCTCACAGGAGACTGTACTGACATGACTCAATGCAAGCTAGCTTTTTCTTCTGAGATGAAGTGAGATAGTGGTAGCCACAGTAGTCAATAATCAATAAAACACTAGTCCATACATACGATCTGCTATCTAGGTATGGAAGGCCTTAAGAGATCATATAGTGCAACCCCCTCATTTTATAGTTGAGGCTTAATGAGGTTGAGTGACACAGATGAAATAGAACAGCCAGGATTCAAATTCAAGTCCTACGATTCCAAGCTCAGCATTTCTTCCACTGGACCAACATCAAACTTAAACATGCAAGGTGCTGTGACTTCGGCATCTCCCAGCTATATATTAAAAACCAACATGGTGGTTTGGGAATTATTAGATACTGTGGAAAATTTAAGTGATTTATTCACACATCTGTACAATATTGTTTTTGTCAGAGAAAAATAATATATGGTGACTTGATCCTAGGTTCACAAATATCAAACTGAAAGCTTTATTATTTCCAGCCACATGGCTACCTCATTAGATTTGAGGCAACATAAAACAAAAATTAAAAAAAAAAAAAAAGGTAACGCTAGTTCTTGTATTCTACCACATAGTATCCCAACGGGACTACCAGGCCTGATCTATCTTCTAATTTAGAGAAGCAACTTGGGCAACTGTTGGTGGCCCTTTTGTATGCTTCATTATCTGCACTACTTCTTTTCTTTTTCAAATTACTTTTTACATTCATTTTAAAAAACTTTGGGTTCCAAATTCTCTCCCTCCTTGTAGCTCCTCCCCCACCCATTGAGAAAGCAGACAATATAGTATCAGTTATACATTAAGTTGTGCAAACCATATTTCCCTACCTGTGTTACAAAAACATAAAAAGCAAGAAAAACCTTTTCTTTTTTAGAAAAGTTCTTAGTTCTTTCTTATCTAGCCGTAGCTATAAACTAGTGACACTCAGGGTCAAAAGATTGATGACTGAATCTATGAATTTTTATTGCATGAGTTGAAATGTCCATAAACACATTGTACATGGTGTCTTGGTAGCATTAGAAAGGATTGTTACAAGGAAAACCCTTTGTAAACTCTATAACCACCTTGAACATCAATTACCTTTCTTCAGACTCCCGACGGAAGCAGTCCAGGACCCCTCCAGGTCACCAGCTTTGGCCATTGTGAAAGGTAGCAATCCTTGTGGAGACTGGAACTAGCATTGCTTCTGCAGGTGCTGTAGTCCCACCCTACCCTGCCCCCTCCTCAGCAGTCAGTTTCTGAAGACCCAGAAAAATTTCTCACCACTGCAGACCACTGTCTAATGGTTCAACATTAGAAATGGTTATGGAACTATTAATGGGAATGAAACAAAAGATGCATTATCATCTGCCTTGGTGCTGCACCCCGAGAACCAGAGCCTTTCAGTCTGACTTGAAACTGAAACCTGTATCTGTTGTTTGCACTATTAGACTGAGTGTTCCTTGACAGCCGGGACTATCTTGCTTTTCTATTTGTATGCCCAGCACTTAGCGCAAAATAAGCATTACCTTCCACCCTTTCATCCATCCGTGCATCCATGCATCCATCCATCCAATCACCTCTTTAAAACATTGAAGTCTTTAGGTAGAAGACCTCTCTAGTTCTCTTCCCTTATGATGCAGAAACACAACCTTATTCAACTGCTCCTCAAGGTCTGGATTTCTCAAGTTCAAGACTCCCTTTTCCTCTGGAATTATCTTGACACTTTTCCTTCTTGGATGATCTGTTATTTTTTACATAGTGGTGGATCACATATGTTACTTACTTTCAAATAATCTTCTACCCTCTTATATGCTCAAGGATTCAAATGATTTTTGATCTTCCCTTACCCATGTCCATTTCTCCAAAATCAATGCTGAGGGCAGGTCTGTGGGCCACAAATGAGGGAATCTTTGCCTTCAACATTAAGGCTCTATTTTTTTTTTCTGGTTAATTCACAAATTAATGTTATGTTTCCCCACAGTGAGGAGGTTTAATAGAGCTGCTTTTAGTTACGCTGCTTTAATAAAACACTACCTTCAAATTAAAAATACATTATATTCTAGTCACACATCCTGGAAATGCTGTATCAAGAATGTCTTGAGGTAGTGCTGCTGCTGCCTTGCTTCTCTTCTTTCTTCTGGGCTGTGGATGGTGTCGTTGCTTCATTTTACCAAGAAATTACACTGGTAATTCTTTTGCTGAGTGGTGGCAGTGCTATGCAGACAGGACAAAAGCATAATACCTGTATTTAATGTTGTACACAGGCGTCTTCGGTCATCTACTTTCTTGTTTTTCCACGCTTTACACTTTGCACCTTCCCCATTGTTTATGGCTCCATAAATCATCAAGCATCTCAGTAATTTGTACTTGTTGGTGCTTTGGTGGATCTATAAAAATACTGTTATGAAGAAACTTACTCTTCAATCTTTTTTTCTCCTTACATTTTGATATATTTCATTGAAGATGTGTAGGAAAAGAATTGAGTATTTAAATGCCAGCAACATGTGAACAAGGAATTTATTTCCTAAATTTAACTTTTTTCTCTTTGTTGGTTCAGAAAAAAAAAAACACACACACACACACACTCACACACCAATTTGTAACTCAGCCAACTGCCCTTTTCCTTGCCATGAGGAAGACATATTTTGAAATTAAGGGCTCTGAATGTGAAAGAGAAAAAAGTGCCATATTTCCTTTCTTTCTTGAGAATTCTAATAAGTTGATTCAGCTGACTCAGTATTAGGGTATCGAATCAGGAGGATATATAAAACTTAAAAAATAAACCACACAGCTTTAAAGATCATTAGTTTATTATCTATTCTTCAGGTGTTACCTCAGAAACAATCTAGTTATATACAAAAATTTGGAATGTTGAATAAATGCTGATCGATAAAAACATTACATAGCTGCTGACATGGGAAAATTTTGGGAAAAAATTACAGCAAATTAATATTAAAGGCTCAATTCTGTGTTGCTTATTGCTATGATTGTGTTCAGAAGATGCTTTCAAGTATATATAACATATATATATATATACATACACACACATATACACACATCCCCACTCATTCTCATTCATATCCACACCCACGCTTTTCAAAACTCCAATCCAAATAGTCAGAAAAATATTTACAAAATAAATACAAGGGAAATTTCAAAATTTCTCTATATCATTCAAACCAATTCTTTAATGAGCTGTCACAAAATATGAAGATATCTTGTGTTTGTGGAAACAACTTTATACTGAATAAATTATTCTAGTTTCATTTTTATTAGTTTAAAAAATCCCAGATAAGAAACATGCTATGGAAAAATATTGATTCTGGCTTAAGATTTTCTATCACATATTCATTAAAATGAAATTAAGTATTGGGGGTGACGGTCCTTACATGGACTGGATTTTAAACTAAGAATGACTTTACAACTTTCTTAAAACTACATATACCTATACGTTTCCTTTCCTTTCTCTTTCTAAATGGAAACAATCATCAAAACACTATAATTATAAAAAAATCTTTACTCGCTAAGTAAAATGACATTTGATGTTAAGACTTTTAATATTTTGGGAATGAGTTTGGGGTTGAACAATAAATAAATAATGTGGAACCTGTGCAGTTTTTCATCTCATTGCACATTCCTGGTAACAAAAACTGGGGTACTCTATGAATTACTGGTTAAATTGAAATAAAAGGTTTAGAAACCATTAATTTAATACAGAATAATGTATAACTTGTTGCACTTATGGTATTTAAATCAGTTATATGGTATATGAAAATTAACTTAAGGCCAGCTCAGCAAAGAATCAGTTCTTTTGGACTTTCTTTCACTCTCTAAGATTATAGGCTGCGTAGATGATCAAATTAAGTTAGCAGATACAGAAAAAAAAACACACACATATTCTGTGTAATCCCTTTTCAAAGGCAGAATGTGATTTAAAGCAATGAAATGTGAAGATTGTTGCAAATGTCAAAATAACATCAGAAAAGAAATCTGAGAATAAAGGGAACACTGAGGCTTATAATATAGAAGCTCTGTCATTCTTTTCTTTAGAGATTACAACACACATACAATAAGTGAATTTTATCAAAATACAGCACATTTCTTCTAATATATCCAAAAAATCAATTCCTATGTAAATATTACTGAAAATCAACTAAAATGAGTTAAAATATACAAAGAGTTGTTAAAGGGTTTCAATTAAATTTTTAAAACTATACAGTACAATAAGCCGTAACAACTTCAAAGAAGTGCAATAATATTTGAGTTCATGTATTTAAAAAGTACTGCCTATTTATTTTGACTAGCAAAGAAGGAACATTTCTTTCCAACTCACTTTTCCAAAAAAAAAAAAAAAAAAAAGTAGGTTGGTTTTTTTTCCACTAGCCCTATATAAAAAGTCTTCATTACATTTGGGTTGAAGAACAATGTGTATCAGTTTAAAATCATCAACTTACATTTCTTAATTAAAAATGAATTGCAATAACCGAATATTGCTATCATGAAAGGCTAATGATTAGCCTTGATTAAAAACAGTTATTGGTCTTCTATGGCACTTTTCCCTGGTCCAAACAACCATGCATTAATTCTTACCACTGCACATTATTCAATCTCTACTCAATTACAAAGGAGAAATGATAAAATAAAATAGTTCTGGTGAACAAAATTAATAAACATACCATCAAATATTTTATACAGTAATAAGGAACAAAGGCAGCTGGTGGTAAATCACAATTATATTAATAGTTAGAAACCCTTTAATGACTCTGAAGTGTCTAGTTCACATTTAATGTTACCTGTAGGAACAGCCCTTAAATGAAGATCATTACAAACCAGTAGGTCTAACAGACCCATCCCTTTGCTAAATAACTTTCCACAGCAATTCTCCATCACTGTGCCACTGTTTCACAAACTTGCTTTGGTTACCTAGCTCCATGCGTATTGTTTCTTTTTAATTTAAGAAGGCAATGCAAGGCCAAACAAAATCAAGATGGCTTCCCTGACCCTTCCTGCATCATGCATTCCATGAGTGTTACAGGTAACACGTCTTAAAAACTGGCCATTTCAGTTTCATTTAAAAACAAAACAAAACAAAAAAAACAAACATCTATAAATAAGCTTAAAATGGAGTACTGATTACAGATCAGATTAAAAAGTACCACCATTTGCACAAAATCAGGGGATTTTCATGGCAAAGAAAAATGTATGGGGATATAGACAATAAGAGGTAAAAATTTTTTTGTAACTAAAAAAATAAAACTTCAATCACCAATAGCAGATGAATAGTCAATGGCTACGGCAAGAACAGATCCTGTAGAGCTCATAAAATGTAATTACAGTCTTTTTATTTAAAAAAAAAAAGACATTACATGTTTTATTGCATTATTCTTTTGGTAGACAAGCATTTTTTTTTTTCATTCTCTTTGCTTCCAGACTGTGATTGGAAATAACTTTTATCTAGCCTTGGAAATGAACCCAACCAACACCACCTTCATCTACCCATTCATCTATACAATGTGCACGTAGCAAAAACCAACATTTCAAATCTCTTGCCCACATTTACATAAGTGGTTTCAGCAGAAAATATTAATACCAGGTGAGGTGAATAAAAATAAAGGCATAAACAGCTACAGGACAGACAGCCCTGCCATCAGTCCAAAGCCTTGAACAAAGTTTAGTAATGTGTATGAGTTATCAAAAAATAAATCTACAATCTATACAAGAACAATACAGGTTTGTTCTTGTAACTTTGATTGTTATAATGTTTAAAAATCTAATGAGATTTATTCACCAGATGATTCTCTAAACAGTTCCTTCTATGTTCCATACAGTGGTTCTTGCCCTCTAACCACAAGTTCAGAATTTCATTAATGTACAAATTTTTCACATAATCTTTCAAGTTCCTTTTCATATATAAAAATAGTCTATTCAGTTTCTCCACAGATGTCTTGCAATGAATCTTGCTGACTTTTCCTTTAGTCCACAGTGCTTATGAAGAAATCTCTCGTATGATGATGAGTTCAACTGTGTTCTGGAAAGTTTTTAGCAAGGATACTGCTTGTCCATGATCAATATTGATGAAACTGTAGCCATTAGCCTAAAATGAGAAAGAAAATTTCTTTTCGAAAAACACTCCCACAGTAACTTATTTGCATGTATTCTTTTGCCAATAAATGCCTCTAGATGGCCTCTCCTGCCAATAGATACTTCTAGATGGTTTATCACATGAGGAGAAATAATGAATGACAAGACAGAAAACTCAGTCATTCTTCACAACATTGATTTTCTAAGGAATCATTTATTATCAGGACTCACTACAATATTCCTAGTTATCTTTGCAATAAAGATGTATAGTTTTTTTTCCTGGTTCCACCCATGTTTCATTCAGAAGATTACAACTAGACTACACTTAGAATGCCTGTTCTTGGGACAAGGATGGGAAATACAAGAAGTAGTTTGCTTGTTTTTTCCCCTAGCAGGAAGCAAAAGTGGGTGATCCAGGTTGTATATTTTTTTCTCTGTGTTTATTCTTCCCACTTTCCCCACTTGGTGAAACCATGCAAAGTATCCTGGCAACAGTGGCCAAACCTCATCCTCCCCTCTGGTGCCAAGGACACTTGGGAGCAACAGAAAGATTTCCTACGGGTTTTTCCTTCCTTTTGGCTTTGTAAATTTACTTACCTTGAAGTCATTAGAAGAAACAACGGATTTAAGGGAACCTATTTGTAATCTCTACTCCTGCCTAACTGTGAGCCCCATTTCTGTTTCCAACCACCCAGAGGGGAGGAAGATGCCTTTCCACAGATGAAGAGGGATGCAGGACTTTCCAAGGTATGTGAGTCTCCCCCCCCCCCTTTTTTTAAACTTTGCTCAGCTTTGATCAGACAATGTGGACTTAGTCCAGCCCTACTTGAACCCTAATCATTAGACAGTGTTCAGTCTTTACCCTTAGCAAAATCCCGGTAAAAAATTCCAAGCACCTGTTTGTTATATAACTTCTTATACATAATTTTCCAAGATAAGGGAAAGAATTTCAAACTTGAAAATATTAAATGAATCCATTAAAATGCTAGTAAATATAGGAAATACTTCTTTCCTGACTCTGCTTATTAACTATATTAAATTTTATTAAACTACTATATTCAGGCTGATACACAATATGCAACTCAAGAATTTTAGGACAGAAACATGAAAAAAATTATAAAAAGATGTATAACAATCACCTGAATAATTTTGTCTCCAGGTTGCAATAGTTTTGATGCTGGTCCTTCAGGCTGTACCCTGGTAACAAATATGCCCTTTAACCAAGAAAACAAAAGAAAAAGAAAATTTAACTGAAAACATAAATAACAAAGTAGTGAGGAGCACTCTTTTCTTTCTCTTGAGTTAACACAACATTTAATATCTTTTCTATTTCCACTTTAACATCCTATCCTCTTATCATATATAGTTGTTGTTCACCCTTCTTTTTCAATAAGGTTCAATGACATCATGAGGTGATGTCTTGACTCGTGCATGATTTAGATTTAAGTGAGGCAGAATTGCACAAAATCATCAGCCTCACTCCTCCAGTCATCAAAATCTAGTGGCAGGACAAAAGTCAAGATGACTGGTGATGGTCCAGGATGAAGTGGATGACCTTAATGGCTTCAACGTCTGACTAAGCTTTAAGTACTCCAGAGAGCCTATCTCACCTGCCATCGTGTCCATTTGGAGCCACAGATGATAGCTGGGTAACAGGTGGACACCAAAGGTGGATGAACAGCCCTGAAAAGGGCTCAGCAAACCCTCATACCAGAGGGGCTAGTCCTCCACCCCTATCATTATCGTGACTGGGAAGCAGAGTGGATAGAAGACTGGCCTGAAATGGCAAAAACTAATTCCAAGAACTGTCTGTAACACACACTAGATCTGAGTGTTGCCACAGACCAAGTCACTTAATCTTTCTGTATTCTAAGAAATTTTCCAAGACTAAAAGTTACAGATGAAAATGTAAATGGAAGGAGTTTTCCCACTAGGAGTTCCCTACACAAATTAAATCACTGTAGATTAAAAAGAGAGTGTTTGTGTCATTTATCTAACTAGAACTGATGTTTCTTTAGAACAGGGGCTATACCTTATACGTCATGGTATCTCACGGGGAAACTTGTACTCACAGCTGCTCCTTAAATAGAACAGAACTGAAGAACTGGGATTTCTGAGTCTAGAGAAGCCTTGGAGATCTCGGCAGCTGCCTACAAATCCCAGGCCTGACCAGCATCAGAAGCAGGGGGACCCCTGAAAGGCTGACCACCTCCTTGTCTTGTGAAAGTACAGATGACTTGCCAAAGCCACGCATCTAATTATCAGCAGAACCAAGGTCTTTGGGCGCTAAGTTGCCATTTTTGAGGAAATGTTACAAATAAGAGAGAACTGACCTGATTTCGTCTATTCCAGAAGGCAGAACTAAGAACAAAGGGTAGAAATTACAAGTGAGGTTGAAGAGTCTTGGGGCTATTCAGAAATTCTTTAACTGAAATGAAATTAGCTCCTTATGAAGTTATCCATAGCAACTTTTTCGCAGTCCTCCTTAGCTCTCCTTCCTATCAGCAGATATCTTTCAACCCCTACTTTACTGAGAAGATCAAGACCTTCTAACATAAGTTCGCTCAAAAACTCAAAATTTCTCTACATCTCGATAAAGAATTTCCTTCCTTCCTTCCCTTTTGAGGTATGTCCCTCCTTTTCCCCCAAGGCTGACAATTCTGCTTTTTCCTGTTCATGTTCAAATCTATTCCATGCAGCCCCTTGAATTACCACATTTTATTGCCAAACTTCTAATGAAAGTAACCTCTACTCAATCAATCCATAAACATTTATTAAGTGCCTACTTGAGGGAGATGCTAAGGATACAAAGAATGAAATCATTTTTCTATGCAAGGGACTTACATGCTGTCAGCAAAGACAAGTATATATAGAAAAATATGAAGAGAAAAAGAGAAGCACTCTGGGAAGGAAAGCACTAGCAATCAGAGAATCAGGAAAGCTTCATCTGGTAGTGCAGACTGAAAGAGGTGGGTGTGAGTGAGAAGGGCGGGCACTACAGGCAGAGGGAATGGCAATTGCAAAGGCAGAAAGATGGGAGGAGAGTTGTAGTGAAGTACCAAGAGAAAGTCAGTGGGGCTGGACTCCAGAATGTAGGAATAATGTGAAATGGGGATGGAGAGATTGGTTGTGGTCAGGTTGTGAAGAGTTTTGAAAACTTCAAAGATGAAATTATATTTGATATGAGAAGCCACAGGGAGCCACTGGAGTTTAATGAGTAGGGAAATGAAATGGTTAGATCTGTGCTTAAGGTAAATCAGGCCTGAACTAAGGTGGAGAGAAGGGGTCAGATTCCAGAGAGATGTTGTGGAGAGACAAGATGACTAGATGTGTGAGGTGAGGAAGCAGAGTCAAGGATAATTCTGAGGTTGGGAACCTGGGAGACTGAAGAAATGGTGGGGCTTTCGAGAGAGATGTGGCAGTCAGGGAGAGAAATGGGTGTGAAGTATGTGTCCAAGAAAATAAGCATATGCTGAATTTGGAATTTCTCCAGCATATCCAGTTTGAATTGGCCTTTATTCCTCATCCTTTTGGACTTCTCTGCAGTCTCCGGAACTACTGTGTCATTTCTCACACCATAAGAGAAAGATTCTGTACTCCTGAGTCCTGTTCTTAATTCTGCAAGTAATGACTTGAGACAGGATGATGGATAATTTCTTAGATCTACTCCAGCTTAAAATTTCTAGGATTCTATGAATTATCTCTCCTAATGACTACATTTCCAGTCTGCTTTCCTGGCTCTTTTTCTGTCCTTGACTTTCTTCTCTTCTTCATGCTCTCTCCTTTGGTGGTCCCATTGGCTTCAACTATCCAGACAACTCACCAATGTGTTACATTAGTCCAACCATCACCCCAAGTTCCAGACTTGAGCTAAAATCTTTCTGGATGTCATGTCAGCATCTGAATCTGAACATGTTTAATACTGAAGTTCTTATCCTTTCCCCCCAACCTGCTTACCTCTTGCGCTTCCTAGAGTTTTATGTGGAATTTATTATTATACATTTAATCAATTATCAAGGCTCAAAATCTCAGAATTCAATCACTATTCCCTCTTCTTTAACCAACCCCCTCCCAAATCCAGTCACCAAATTCTGCCAGTTCTGCCCTGCAAAAATCTTTCACATTTAATTTTTCTTTTCCATTCCCATTGCCCTAGTCCATGTGCTTACTACCTCTTACCTACTGCAATAACTGCCTAATTTGTTTCTCTGCCTTTAGTCTCTTCCCTACCTACCTGTCTGAGTCATCTTGTAAAAGCTTTTTCACGTTACTCCCTTGTTCTAACAATCTTCAATGTCTTTCCAAACTGCTAAGCATATTATTCAAGGTCTTCCATTATTTGGTGCAAACCTCCTTTTCTAGTCTAATCTTCCACTACTATTCCACTAATACTTCCACTATTTGCCCAGTAGGCCAATGATACATGATGACTCATCATTTCTCAAACACACCTCACATTTTCCCATACTTGTATTTTTAGTCAAAAGTATTTTTTGCCTACAATGATCTTATCTATCAAAATTCTACCTATCCTTTTAAGGCACAGTTTTATTCGTACCTTTATGCATGAAACCTTCCCTGAGCCAACAAGCCAGGTATAGTCTCTCCTTTCTTGATGAACTTGAGTTGTTCCCCTCGTCATACTTATTACAATTACAATTGTAATAAGTATATCATTATATTTACTGCATGCATATTTCTTCTGCTCTAGTTTAAGCTTTTTGGTCCTCTTCCTCTCTTCCACACAGTCATACAATATAATCTTTTGCACACAAAAAGCATTCAATAACTGTTTAAAAATTGAAACAATATGGGGACAACTAGGTGGCACAGTGGATAGAGCACCGGCCCTGGAGTCAGGAGGACCTGAGTTCAAATCCAGCCTCAGACACATAGTACTTACTAGCTGTGTGACTCTGGGCAAGTCACTTAACCCCAACTGCCTCACCAAAAAAAAAAAAAAAAAAAAATTGAAACAACAAAAAGGGCTATCTTAAAGGGGTAATGAAGCTCATCATCACAGCAAAGGCTAGACTACCTGTCAGAGATGCTATAAGAAAGAGCCTTAAGGCCCCTTTGAACTTGACCTTGAGAAAATCACTTTCCTTCTTTAAGACCTCAGTTTTTTCATCTAAAAAGTGAGAGGGTTAAAATGAATACCCTTGAAGGTCCCTACTAGCCTCCAATCTATAAATTTTTTACTCTAAGACTTTATGATTCTAATAGACTACTCTTGTAGCCAATGGTATCAAAAGAACTTGTTATAATTCAATATCTGATATATGTAAATTTGGGAAAATTTTTAGAAATATATTTTAAAACTAAGATTTTCAATATTTTAAAATTCTCATTCCCTTAAAATTAACTTCCCACTAAAATATCACCATTAATAATAATAATAATAATAATAATTATTATTATTATTTTGGTGGTGTTAAATTTAAAATGTTCTTATGAAATAAAGATTTTATTTGAAATCAATTATGTAAATAAAACCATGGGTAATGCTGATAGAATCTAAAAGGTAAAATCTTCCCTGTTCATACCTTAGAGGCATGATGGTGTAATGGAAAGCTCACCAGATTTAATAACATAAGACCTGAGTTCAAGTGCTAGCTCTGTTATTTATTAAATGTGTTCTTATAAACAAGTTACTTAACCTGAGTTTCAGTTTCCTCATCTGTAAAAAGAATCACAATCACATATTTGTAAATGGAAGAGACACCTAATCTAGAAGTGGTCATCCAGTATGTAACTCCCGCATTTTATAAATGAGGAAACCGAGATTCAGAGATGTTAAATGACTTGCCTAAGGTCACAAACGTAGTAATCAGCAGACACCTCGATACAATCTTAGGTTTCCTGACTCCAAATTCAGGACTCATTCCATTGTACAATGATAATAATAATAATGATACTTGCATAACTTAACTCATAAAGTTGTTATAAACTTTTAGAGATAATCAAGTCATTTTATTTTTTTATTTTTAGGCAATTGGGGTTAAGTGACTTGCCCAAGGTCACACAGCTAGTAAGTGTCAAGTGTTTAGTTGGAGGCCGCATTTGAACTCAGGTCTTCCTGACTTCAGGGCCGGTGCTCTATCCACTGCGCCACCTAGCTGTCCCTCAAGTCATTTTTTAAAAAGACATGTATGTAGCTGGTAAAAATTCACAAGATATTTTGAAAACAAATACACACAAAACTTACATCATCATCAGGTCTGAAAGGATTTCCTCTTCCCCCAACACCTCCTGATATGCTAAATCCGAGCTCTGGATCCTTTTCAACTCTTACTCGAATCTGAATTTATGAAAATAAAATGAACTATTATTATTTTGTTTCAAAGAGACTCACAGCAAACTGAATACTTACCATCAAACACACCCTTAACTTCTCAAAATTCCAAATCCAAAATGTCTAAAAATGACAGTATCTACAGATTCTTTTAAATTAAATAAGTAGGTCACTAACAATGTGAAACTAAGGCAGACAATGAATTAAATAATATGCTGTTAATTAGTTAGTGAGTTAATAGCATTGCTGGGATTATAAAGCATGGTTTCTAAATTTGTCTATTGCTTATAGTTCGTGAAAATATGCTAGAAATTAATAGTAGCCCTATTATATTTTTTACATTTAATAGACTTAGATTAAAAGCAATAGACTTGCATTAAATGAGCATTCAGGGTATCAGATAGAGAACACAGAAGTATACATGCACATGGCCATTCTCTATTTATTATGAAATTAATGTGTCATACTCTGTTTATTGCTTTGTGAAATGTCTGCTTAAAGGTCCCTAGGTGATTTTTGAAAAGAAGAGTTCATTTTTTTGGATTTGACTGTGCTTTCAAAGAGTTGGGTGTTTTAAAGTGCTAGAGAAGAATCAACCAAAAAGCCAATAGCATTTTTTTCTGTCCCTGAATTTCCAGTGATACTGATAGCTTACCATCACTCCAGGATCATACACAGAATGACTGAGAATATTTTTAAAAATTTCATTCTCAGGGAGGGTGTAGGGTGTAGAAAACATAATGATATTCTAAAATCTAAAAAACTAAGCTCTAATATCAGTTTTTAAAAAATAGCCTATAATGCTCAATATTCTGCTAATCAGTTGGTATTTAGCAGGTCAAATCACTATTATAAGCAGGACAGAACTTGGGAAAACATTTGCTTTCTAAGACACAGCGATGCCTAAGACTCTAAATTCCTGAGTTAATCAGAAAGTAACAAAGGGAAAATAGGGGAAAACTTATCATCCTGAGAAACCTATGAATTCGTGTACAAAACTTAACACATGAAAACACCTTAGAATCCAGACAAAATTACAGTAACTATGCTCATGAGAATCCTATATGGATTTATTTACAATAACATTAAAAAGTTATCAATGTCTATAATTCGTAGGTGAAATACATTAAAGGCTCATTCTAATACTTGAAAATTTTTTTTAATTGTTCTTACCTCTTGTTTTGCCAGTTCATGGACTTGTCTAGGAGAACATTGGGACTGTATATATGGAGGCTGGTGGGCCACTTTCAGCATCAAGTAATCAATTAGTTGTTCTCTAGAGGGATGCCTTGCCACAGATGCCTGAGGAGGGGGGTGATGGACTTGACTATAATTTGCCTGAGGCCTGGGAGGCTGGCACATCTGTCCATTACTCAAAGGCATCTAAGGAAAACATGGAAGTGTCTTCAAATGACCAATAATAATGTTTTAACACATTCTTGGAATTTCTTCTTAGAATAATGAAAATATTTGTGTTAGGATTACACAAACACAAGATGTCATTTAGTAACACTTTTAGTAAAATTTTTAGCATTAAACTATTAAGAAAAAAAAGCTAAATTATTTTCCCTAGTATCTTAACATAAAAATATCAACCCCTTAGATTAAAACAAGCACTCGATAAATACTTGAGTGACTGCTGATTATAGAAAGGTAAAATTTCTCCCCATATATATGTATGCAACTTCTTTTAGCTTCCTACTAACAATGATTAATGTTATAAAAACAGGTTTGCCTTAGAATCACTGTATTTTCCAATTCAATTAAGTAATATCTTTGAAACACCTATATTTCCCCATCACAGAGAAATCTTTGATTCAGCAACTAGGTAATTTGAATTTGATTTACTTTTCCCAAACATGATTAATCAGCGATTCTAAATTCCTTAAGTCTTAGACAAAATAATCTCAAAGTGCTATACTCTTTAAGCTGGTGAAGCTTTCAGGAGATCATTTTATTTTACAGAATAAGATGGAAAAAAAGAACTACCCTTAACATACAGCAATCCTTACTTTGTGGACTAAATAAATTCTGTACTCAATTTTTAGAAATGATGACTGAAAACTGTCTTTGTAAGAAGTGACACTAACAATTTATATAGGCTAGTGGGAGAAAGTCATAATTTTGAAAATAACATCATCCATATATGCTTTGTTAAATATAACTACCCTTTTCTATAACAGAGGGAAAAAATGGTCTGGGTATTCTTAAAGGTTTAAGGTTTTCTTAATGATCGTGAACAACAGCAATTCCTTCTTCCATATGAAAACAAAGCCAGAAAAAAACAAAAACAAAAACAAAAAATGAAGATAATATAACAAGCCCCTTCCCCTTAAGTGAGCAGAGGCAGACAAAATTTATCATGCAAATCTCATAGTAGCATGCTCCTTAGAAGTGAATTTCCTTCTCATCTACAGGGCAAAAGTTAATTGGGAGGGACTGTGGAGGTTCAGGTACCATGAAAGGATAGCTGTCAATTAATGTAAAGGAAGCCCTTTTTAAAGGTACTTTTTCTATAAAGCTGTATTTATTGTACCATACTTGATCTACACTCAAGATTAGGGTTATAAAAGAAAAACTGGTATTTTTGTAAAAAGGGCATAGAAAGAATAATACCCCTTTCTTGACTCCTACCCTATGAGACAAAACCATACTGACTGGTTCCAATATGCCTACTAAAGATTCAACGTAATTTATCTGTACTGGTACAACTTTGAGTTATCCTATTACCTTTCAGTGGATGACAATTACTTTTTAGCCAAGATTCTTCCTGTAAATATTAGATATTGATCCTATATTTCCTGTTGATACACTATTTTTTGCAAAAAAAACCCAAAAAAACCAACCCTATATATATATATATATATATACACACATGAACTCATTTGATCCTCACTAAATTTCTATAAAGTAGATGATAAAATGATTATTCCTTTATTTTCTTTTTTAAAGATGAAGAAATTTGTGCTCAGAGAAGCTGAAGAGCAAACTCTCAAACCTGGGACTTAAATCTAGGTCCAACAACTACAAATTTTAGGTTCTGTCCACTGTACCACGTAGGGGAGAAGCTGTGTTCACACAGGAAGGGAAAACTAACCCCATAAAAGAAAGCACAGGTAATCATCAAATGAGTGGTCTAGAGAGAGTTACAGGAGCTTACAGGAGGAAAGGATCACTGAAGTGATAAAGGACTGACATAAGTGTAAGATATGCCCAGGGATCCCACTGTCAGTAATGAAAGTGATCATGGAGAATGAGAAGAGCCTATCAGAGTCTTTAGATGGAAACTAGTTTTAGTTCACGGCAATATTCTACAACATGACAAAAGGAACATTTAGAAAATGAACATCTAGAAAAGGAAGCTATGATCACAGACAGCATGGTTTCATCGAGAACAGGCCATGACAAACTAACCTAAAGTTCATTTTCTCTTAACAGGGTCATTATACTGGTAGATGGGGGAATTCAACAGATAGAATTTATCTAAATTTCAGTGTAAGGGAGAGGTCTGGCCAAAGAAGGATTTGTCCTTAAGAGTATGCTCAATATCCTTTGCCTACGGCCAATTCACAAAGGCTTGGTGAATTAGCTTTCAGAAATGAGTGGTGGAGGGCACCTTTCTCTCCTATGTATAGGTATTCTCTGTTTCCTGTTAGCTTACTGTATGAGATGAGAACACTCTCTTTCTGGTGGCAAATGAAGCAACAATTGCTAAGCCCCCCCCCCCCCCCCCCCCCCCGATTTCCCCCCCCCCCCCCCAGCTCCTGCTGCTGGCTGCCTGATCTCCCTACCCAGTGGCCATCTGCCCTGAATGTATAATTATTGATTAGAGAAATGTAAATTAAAACAACTGAGATACCACCTCAGACCTATCAGATTGGCTAAAATGATGTAAAGGGAAATGACAAATGCTGGAGGGGATGTGGGGAAAAATTGGGATACTAAAACACTGGTGGTGGAATTGTGAAATGATCCAACCATTTTGGAGAGCAATTTGGTGTTATGTACAAAATGTTATAAAAGTGTGTATACCTTTTGACTCAGTAATACCACTATTAGGCCTGTTTTCTAAGGTGATCAGGGAAAAAGGAAAAGAACCTACATCTTCTAAAGTATTTATAGTAGCTCTCCCCTTGCAGTGGCAAACAATTGGAAACTGAGGGGATGCTCATCAATTGGGGAATGGCTGAATAAGCTGTGGTATACAATTGTGATGGAATACTATGGTGCTGTCAGAAATGACAAGCAGGTTGGTTTTAGAAAGAAACATTAAGACTTGCATGAAATAATGCAGACTGAAATGAACAAAACCAAAAGAACATTGTATACAGTTAAGAGCAATACTGTCAAAGAGTATCTGTGAATGACCAAGCTATTCTGAGTAATATGATTATTTATGTCAACTATGAAGGGCTTATGAAGGAAAATGCTATCTATCTCCAGACAAAGAACTGATATATGTAAATATGAATTGTATAGTTCCACATGTATATCTAAATAAAATGTTGGCCTTTTCTAATGTAAGGCTAGGAGGGACAGAACTGAGAAATCAAAATGTAACCAAAAAGAAAATAACCAAATAAATTTTTAAATGAAAAATTGAGATATGAAAGAAGATGGATGACAGAATTCAACTATTAACCAAGAATAATGGAGGTTAAGGGGGGAAAAAAGCAGACAGAAAAATACACTTAAACATTTATACTAGGCTGGCTAGGGAACTATTCCCAAAATGAACACTACTAGTTTCACATTAAAATACCCCAGAAATTATTATGTGTGTAGTAGCATTTCAGAAACATTGAATTTTTAAAATTCTTTTGGAACATAGTTAAGGAAAAACAACCAGACCACATACATTCTATGCTCAAGATCCTTCAGTGGTTCCTGAATTATTACCTAGAGAACAAAATGCAAACTCCAAGATCTTTTTACCTTGTATGTAAATCAATTTGTTTATCTTTCTCCCTTACTATGTTGTAAGTTCCTTGGAGGCAAGGACTTGGTCATTTTTCATCCCCAGTGCCTACCAGAGTGCTTTGCAGAGAGCAGGTATTTAATAAATATTTTTTATTGATTGACAAGGAGAAAAAAGAATAAGTGAATGATAAAGGAAGCTGTGTGTTATATCTAAATGCACATGGGTTTTTACAAAATCTCCAATCAAGTTTTACCCTAGAAATACTACCATCTATACCACTAAAAAAAAAATCCAAATCAATCCAGATACTTGAGGTATAATGAGTGAAAACCTCAAATTTACTGTCACTAATTACTAACAGTTTATAAATTAAGGTAACTTAATAATACTGAAATATCTTAAAACCCAGTTTCATAGGATCAGAGATTCATCTACTCTAGCACCTTCATTACAAAGATGAGGGCTGCATCCCAGAGAGATGAAGTGATTTGTTCAAGGTAACAAATCCAGTAAGGGTTAGAGAGCTAAGATTCAAACTCAGGTCTCTTAGGTGTCTTCCATCGTATGTGCAGCCTCAGGAACACGGATCTAATTAGGTATGTAAAACAGGACTCTATTCAAGGGGATTTAGCTACTTTAGGAAAAGCACTAGCAATAATACCCAGGACACAGGCTCCAAAGAGGAAGTTACTTGTGTTATTATCTTAACACCTAAAATCTTTGAAGACACTGGGAAGCAGTACCATAGCAAAATCAAAATCCTACTTTAACTTTTCAATTATGAAAGATATGTTCACTATTTAGAAAATCTCAAATAATTTCAATGTCAGATTCTAGATTATTTTTATGGCTTATGACCTAAAAAGTATAAGCTTACAGATACTATACTGTATATTTCCTGAACACCTACTTTCTTCAAGCTGTCTGGAGGAACATCTTTGTGACTATGTGTAGCAGATGAGTAGTTCTGCTGTCCTGAAAGGAATACATCATCTTGGCACGGATCTCCCGGACTATCGCATGTCTGGGGGTGCTTGAAATGAGGGGGAAAAATAAAAAAAAATTAAACAAATGTGCCTTTAAAATGTTAAAGCAATAAGATGATTCTGAAGAAAAAGTGAGGAAAGGGTAGGTGATTAATTAATAAGGTGGTATGGATCCAAATCAAATACTCAATCACTTCTATACTGATAAAGTTATCACTACACTTCCAAAATTACATGGCAAGGTTTATTCTAACAAAGCATACCTGTACAGTGAACAGGTATATACACATATAGATTAAAACAGATTTCTTTATAATATTATTTTTTGTTTGATTGGTTGGTTGAATGACTGGTTGAAAACAGCTTATATCCTATTAAAGTAAGTAGTCTTATAAACTTTTTTTTTGGGGGTGGGGGGGAGGGTTTCCCACAACAATTTACTATTTAACTATTATCTAAGTATTTCCATACAATACAACAATGACAACAAAACCTGGATGCTAACAGAATTTTAAAAAATTATGACCTAGGTAGTTCTGAAAATAGGTACCTATAAAATATATACATATATATGGTTTTAGATAAGTGAGCAGATTTTGATGTTCTTTCAAGAAAAGTATAAAACCAACTTTGTACAATTCAATATTACTGTTAAAGTTTTAGGAAATTCACTTCACCCTAAAATCTCACAGGTTTACCTAAGGTAAACCCTTAGGTGTTTGGTTTGATTTAGAAACTAAGTACTAGCCAGCCCTGCCCAGTGTGGCTGCTAGTTTAAACTCTGGCATTAATGTTCAAATTGAAGTTTCAACCAGTTTTGACAGTCCTTGTTAACACTGCTTCTCCCTGTCCTGAGACTGTTTTTATAACAAACCTTACTAATTAATTTTAATCAACAGCATAAATTTCAAGTTCAGGTTTGAATTTGTAACTATTTTCTTACCCTTCAAACAGGCAGAGAGATCGTATATTTGTTCACTAAAAGCAAAACAAGAAATTGGGCTCAAAGCCCTAGAGTTAAAAAGTAAGGGAATAAACACAGCTGATGGGAGGTCACTGCTATTAGACACTTAGCCTGTGGTGGCAGAGGTTCAGGAAATCTAAAATAGCAGTTTTAGGATTTTCATTTCCCCCTCAATCTTTTTTCCCATATTTGAAAGTTTTAACTTCAGGTAGACACTTGTGGTCAAGGAAATTAAGAAAGAATGAGTTCTATCCAAGACAGAATGAATCCAGGAACCAAGAGTTACTACTGTGCAGGGTGGACAGAGGAAGCCAACAGGAAGAGAAATGCTAGACCCATCCCAGCACAGGGCCTGAGTAGGTCAGTCCCTTAAAGTGAGATAAAGATGAGATCATAAAGTCTCACTGCAGAATAAATTAAGAAAAGGTCATGTCAGACAGGAGAGAAGTTCTTTCAGAAACTTTTGTTTGCAGACCTCAAATTCTTGCTATGCCACTAGCTGTTTGAAGGTTGATATAGAGAGAACATGAAAATGGACCTTGGTTTATGTGCCTCTGCCCTTCCTCCAACTCAGGACAGCCAAGAATTATGGGGTAGAAATGGTGAGAATAGGCATTGTGATCTTTCCACAGTATGTAAGATTTATCTTAACCAGTCTCATATTTAACCATATTGAGAAACTTCTAAGAATTCATTCACTTATTAAATCTCAAAACCTCTAGGTACTAGGTTGTATTTTAATTAGTTAATTCTTAATTATCTAAGTATGACTCATCATTCTCTTCTTGGATTATATGTGACTTCTACCTTAAATCCTAGACAGGCGTTTCTTCACTGCTAAGTGTAATCCTGGAAAGTACACAGGGAATGAAAACAAATTTTAAAATTAGAAGACAAAGAAATACTGCCAAAATAAAAAAAATTTCCAAGTTAAAAAGAATTTTTAAAGAAACTTTACTACTCTTTGCATATACCATGTGGATAACAGATAGCTGATCATATTACTTCTTCTATAACTGAAATTTAAAGCTAAAGAGTTTAAATAAAGCTTGAAATAAACGTTCAGCACTAAATGTGCTGAGCAGCAGCATAACTGGTAGGACATCAGGATTTCTAACTAAAAGAAGAGAAAGTCACTTTATTAGTGATGAACAGAACACTTTAAACTTCTTTTTCTTCTATGAATAGAAAAGACTGATCTACCGCAGGTACTCACACGAAAAATGTGCCCACCAGAACCTCTTCCGTCTGCAACACTCAAGGCAAGACTGCCTTGGCTGCCGTGCAGATCCCTAGAGCTGCCATAGTGAAAGCTGCTTACTGCAGCAAAATTGGAATTAAAGGACCTAGACAGCATGCTCTGAATAAAGAGGGGACAGATTTAACACAGATTAGTGCAGCATGCAAAAACCACAGGACATGTTATATACACAGACTTATACACAAGTATACTCAATGTCATGCAGAAGTAATACCATGCAAAACAAGTCAACTGTCAATGCCATTGTGACATATAACTTTGGTGCCTATTATAAATTAAGACATACAAAGTACATAGAAATTACATGTAAATAAAATCATTTACATATTTGAACATTAAGGGAGACAATACACGAACAGTGCTTATTGATGTAATAATGATAATTTATTTATTCCCAACATGTCTTTACAAAGAGTTAGGAAGCAGAAACTGAAGGCACTTCTAAAAGGCATTCATCCAGCTATATTTATAGCTATAAACATTTAAATATACACTCCCCATCCCAGGGCACAAAATATATTTTTGAAAGTTACCTGGTCCTTACTTAATTTCAGTTAATTTTTAAAAAATGTTTCTACTCAAGAAAAATATCCTGAGGTGGAAACAAGTTTGACAAACATACTATAATACGATGATTAAAAGGAGATTTTCTGTACTTTGATCATCAAGGCTAAAAGAAATAGAAACCTGATGTATAGGAATAATTTTTCCTTCTACATGAAAGACCATAATGATAAATAGCTTCATCTTTTATAAATCGCACATTATTACCACTTAAAGAATCTGGGGGTCATTTTTTTCTCAAAGGGACAAGAATCGTGTAGAGATAAAAGCTGCTGAAAAAGAATGGATTTATGGGAACGAATTAAACTGTTTCACAATCACAAATGATTTTATCAATGTGAGAAGAGAACTAAAAGTATACTAATACAATGTACATGATTGCTTATTGTTTCTTTCTGATTAAAATTATGGTGTTCAAAAGAAAATTCAAAAGCAAAGAAAGGACGGAGAGCTCTCAACACAATATGCAGTATTTATTATATAGGCTTTCTTGAAATGGAAATTTATTGTTGTATATTTTGAATTCTCTCTCACTTTCTGCTGTGCACACAATAATGATTTTTTTTTCTTTTCTTATTTTGTATTATTTTAGTTTAAAATAAAATTTACAAAGAAAAAATAAAGTAAAGCAAAATTAAGGTGTTAAATAAGCTGTTACAGTTGCTTATTTAACTGGCCTTTCATATAGATTTGTCTAGAAGTGAAAAGAATGCTAAAGTAGGGTCAGCTAGGTGGTGCAGTGGATAGAGCACTGGTGCTGGAGTCAGGAGGACCTGAGTTCAAATGTGACCTCAGACACTCGAAGTTTACTAGCTGTGTGACCCTGGGCAAGTCACTTAACTCCACTGCCTAGCCAACAAATAAAATAAAATAAAATAAAATAAAATTTTAAAAAATGCTAAAATGCTGTCTTACTGGGCTTGGTTACCAAAGAGGGGGCAGCCAGATTTGCGGCATATTTAATATACACAAATATCACTTCAAGAATGTACAAAGTTAGTATGTAGGAACTTCCCAATTTAAGGGGGGTATGCAACTTCTAGCATATTTTAATATCAAATTCAAGTACTATGAAAAATTAATCTTGACATTCCTGTCTTAGATTTTAGAAAAAAAATTAGGTAAATTACCATTTGGCTTTAAAGAATAAATTAAAATATTTACATGAAAGACTAGCTCTATTTTATTCTCAGTTACTTGTCTGTCACTCTAATATTAAACCCCCAGGATAAATAATTATTTTTGTTTTGAGGAAGCAAAAAAAAAAAAAAAAAATACAAAGTTTTAACAGTAACAACTTCTCTTATTCATCTAAGCCAAGAAATATCATTCTGATCAATATAGTCAACCACGGAACCAGTATATGGTTTAGAAGGGTTGTAAGGGCAGTTTATGCTACCAAAAAACCAAAAAAGTATTATTAAAAGTACTATTATGTTACTGTGCATATTTTAAACCTTCAAAATATTATATTTAAATTTGAGAGAACTTTTGGGCCAATCAAAAGGGTGTTTAAAGTTTTCCAAATTCTATTTATTAGCAGCCAAGAGGTCTTTTGAGAAATAAAATGTGCCAATATTATATGTACATTATTAAGCATATTCCAATATGCTACAAATGTGTTGCTGATTGAAATCACTCTTTTTAAAACAGCTGGCAGGGTAGGGGTGAAATTAATCTCAGGCACATACTCTACATCATTTTGAGGACAGAACTTTAAAAACTGTAATACAAAAACCAAACTTTTTTTAAAGTAAAAAAAAAATCACTACACTTAACATTTCTCTTTTATCTAAAGCTCCTTTCTCTTCTCTCTATACACTTACTTTCATGCAGACTTTATCTAATCATATGTATTCAACTGATATTTCTAGGTCTAACATCTATACTTGCACATGTACTCCAATTCTTTATTTCCAACTGGGCAAGTGATGTTCCACCAACACTTTAAACAACATATCTCCACAGTAACTTCATTGTCCCTCCTCCTGTTCTCTTCCTAATTTATATCTGAAGTGATAACAGTATCAACCCAATACTAGGCTGGAACATTTGGAATCATTCCTTCTTTTGCCCTTTAATCTCTATAACCAAGTATCACCTCACTATTGTTTATATGGTTGTTTCCTAACTGATCTTTCAGAGTTTAGTCTTCCTATACACTAATCCAATTCCTACTGATTGCCGGATAAATATTTCAAAAACACCATGTCATTCTTTACTCAAAAACCTATTACAGCTTTCCCCTGCCCATCATATGAGTACCAAAGAGCCTGTTATCTGATCCTATCCCAACCTATCAACATTATGACTGAGTCATAATTATGAATTGCTGTTAATCCTAAAGCACATGCCAGCTTTTCTTGAAAGCATATGCCTTCACATTCCTCTCACTCCACAAAGCCTCTGGCTTCAGCCATGCTTGTCACTTTTGTACATAAAATGCTCCCCTGGCCTGGAATTCTCTTTTTTTTCTCCATCTACACACATCTACTTATTCTTACAGGCCCTGTTCAAGTTCAGTCTCCTGAATGAAATAAGCCTATCTCCAAGTACTCTATCCTACCTGCAATCATTCCCTTCTCTGGACATTTAGTGTCTATGTTCCCATCACTTTTAGTACTTGATCTTAATTGGCCATTAATGCAAATCAAATAACTAAGAGATAAAACAATAAATCTGCTTCTTAAAAATTCTCACCTTTTGACTCATATTCTTTTGAATCAATTTACAAATACAAATTTAAAGTGACAGCAATGCCTAGACTAACAGATAAACAAGCATTTTGCTAAATGTTAGATGTTAAATTTTGACAGTGAAAAGTTTATTTGTGTAGGACCTAAGTTTAAATCCAGCCTCAGACACTTGACACTTAGTAGCTGTGTGACCCTGGGCAAGTCACTTAACCCCAATTGCCTCACGAAAAAAAGCAAAAAGAAAAAGAAAAAAAGAAAATGGCTATCCATATCTATCTACACACATACACACTGTCTAAAATACTTGATCACGGGTGTTTTTGTTTTCCTGAACTGAGCTTATCAATTATAAAAGGCTCAACATTTTAAACTATTCTTTTTACAAAATCTACATACTTTTACAATCCTTTTAACTCTAGTCACTTTCTAGCAGCAACAAAGAAGAAAGGGACTTTGGGCTTATATTAACAGAACTAATATTAACTGATTGCTGAGACTAAGTGTCCCCTTGAATTACATGCTGCCAGCTTTCACAAGCTAGGAAGGCAATAGAAAGACAAACTCTCTCCTTGCAGTCTACCATGTGCACATTCAGTCTTTCTCTTCTCCAAGTTTCTAAATCTTAACTCCAAGTCATCAATATTTACCAGCAGGATGTGTGGACAATTCTAATCACATCTTGTCTGGACACTTGAAATAGACTCAGTTTTGGTCTCTTTGCTTCAAGTCTCTCCCCAGTGTAATCCATACTCCACACAGCTACCAAAGTGATTTTCCTAAAAAAGAGGTCTGATCATGTCAAACAATCCCTCAAATATGAACTCACCTATCTGGCATTTAAACCTGGCCGGTTCTACTCTTCCAGTCTCACACAATGCTACATCCTCCACCTCTATGCTGCTGAAAGTGGTTGTCCCCCATGCCTGAATGCCTTCTTTCCTTACCTCTGCCTCTTCGAATCCCTGTTTTCCTTCACTTAACTCAAGAAGCCTTTAATGGTCCCCCTATAGCAACAGTGCTCCCTCCTCAAATTTTATATTCATTCTAAAGCTATGCATGGGTATCTGTTGCCTTTTTCCATTACAATGAGTTTCTTGAGTGCTTAAAGCCACCGTGACTTGCACATACTAAGCACTTAATAAATGCTTACTGAATGACTGATCTTGAACCCTCTATATAGTCTATGATAAATTTTAGAACTTCACAAACATGTCATTAGAATAAAAAATGTAGAAAAACACTGCCAATAAAGAGTAACAGGATTGCTGTTGGCATCTTATTTACTAAAACCCGACAGAATTCAAGCAAATTCCGGACAGAAGATGTTTGCTTTTGCCTTAGTATCTCCAATGCCTGATACATAGTTGGTGATTAATAAATGCTTGCAGGCTGATTTACTTCCAAGAACATTTTTCTTTGACCAAAGAGTAGTGTTAACATCAGCTAAGCAAGATGGAAACTTAAATGGGCCCCAAAAGGAAAACATCAGCATTTATGGACTTCCTATTTATAAACATGAAGTTTTAAAAAATCTTTTAGAATTTAGTCTCTTCACCAAGAGAAAGCACGGGCTTCATCTATAACACATAAGGTAAATAATGTGTACGTTGACCTTACACGAAAAAAGTTTACTACTCCTTAAGTGACCTAAATAAGATTTTGAGTAGTCTCCATGAAAATGAACTGGTATTGCTTCTTATCCCATTACAAAGAACAAAAGCAGAAGTCTTACAGATACAGTTAGTACTTAACATATATATTTGCTGAATTTGCTGAAGAAGCATTGGGCCAAAAGAAATGTTGAGGGGAAAAAACCCTGTGCATTCTTCAAATAATCTG